TGCTTTAGCTATAAATTATATTTAAATTTCATTCTTACTTTTTGCTGAACTAAAATGGATCCTCCATGTAGGATACTTACTAATTAAATTATAATTATTCGAGGATCTTAGGCATGAAGAGAAGCTAAGTGAATAGAAGACAGCATGCCTGGAACGCTCAGAAAAAGCAGTTTAGAAGTTCATGTTTAGAAATATTTAGAAGGCATCACATATAAGCAAAATATAGGTGAAAACATAACAATGCTGTTTAGTGTTTTTTTATTAACAGTTTAGGGTACTTTAATGAAATGTCAACAAACAGAAATCAGTATATGACTGAAAGAAGGATGAGTACCTAAAAAATGACGATCTGCTTTCCTACTTTTAGATTTATTCTGTAGCCTCTAGTTGGTGTCCGATGACACCAAGCAGATAATTTGCTCAAGCAAATGCTCAAGCAGATAATTTTGTGTTATAAGAACTGTACCTTCTAAAATAATATTCTTATTTGGCTCTCTTTAAAACTGTGTAAGAATAGTGTTTTTTTAAAAAAAAAAAAAAAAAAAGAAAGACGTCATAGGAGTAATTTGGGAAAAACTGGTTAGCAATAGGAAACGAGTCTCCATGTGAACCCACAGATGACCTTCTGTAGTGTATTCCACTGCTTTTCAAGTGAGGCAAGGTAATACATCTTGGGAGTTGGAACATGCTGTTCACCTGAGAGCTGTCAATCATTCTCATTTTGAAAGACACAGGGTTTATGAATTGTCAACACGTCTTTTAGGCGAGAAAGCAGCACTCATCAAGAGGAAAAACTAAAACAAATGCTTGAATAAATTGAAAATCAAAATGCTGCCTGGTGTTCCTAGCTTAACATATTCCACATAATGTGCAGTTCATATGCTGTAAAAATTGGAATATGTGACACATAGGTGCAAACTGAATGACTATTACTGTGCATTTTGAGTGCAATCCAGTCTGGAGAGCAATGATTTCAGGGTGTTTTTTCTTACAATCCATATAAAATAAAATTATTTGTCATTGAGAAGCCCCCATAAATACGGCTATCTAATACCAAAACTGCTAACAGCCTCGCAGGCTATTTCAGTGGTGGAAGCTGGGGCTGAACACACTGCACTGCATTAGAGTCGCTCCCCGGAGGGCAGATCGAGCTTCATTGGCATCGGCACCACAAGAGCTCAATCTGACTGCTCATTAAGCCTCTCCCAGGGATTCCAGCTACTTCTCATTGCTGACCTTACTTCTCTTTCTGTAGAAGAGAAGCGGTACAGGCTGTGGATCTATCCTAGGTAAAGACACATTTCTACGTATTTAGGAAAACATTGTAGCTCCTGACTGAAAACAAAGCAAGTCTCTTACAGACTTAACAAAGATTTTCCTGTTATTCCATCATTAGCCACCTATTATTATTCTCAAAGAAAATAGAGCATTTTGTTTTGACTGGCAAAGCTTCATTTTTAAATGCTTGTCTTAGAGCATTTAACTGTTTTTCCTGTTTATCTTTTCTCTGGGAAAAGCAACATTAGGGGAAAGTAGTTGTCGATAATGATCTCAGCTTTCTTTACCAAACAGTATGGTTGTGATAATGAAACCAAAAAAAAAAAAAATGTTAAAGCAATTGTTGACAAATCGCTATATGCACTATAGTTGCCTATGGCCATTTTTGTTGATTTGGGATTTTGAAAATAGTAAAAAGTGATTTACCATCTGTTGGGGATTCTGCACTGGAAAACCCAGTCAAGAATCCAAGGAACTGCACAACATGCTCGCTGGGGTGATAACCCCACACTGCCAATGACACAGCGCTGGGATTCTTCATAGAAGTCTCCTGTAGGAAATTCATGAGACTCTTATTAAATGCAATGAAACTACTTTATCCTGCAATAAATATATTGAATACTTTGCTCTGGAGAGGAGAAATTTTGGTTATTATGAGATAATACATTTAGTCCTTTGGTCACCTAGTTACAGGGTTGCTAATGGAATATGAATAATGCTTATTTCTAATGCTATGCTGGGTAATGCTTTACTTACTGTTTAATCTTGCTGTTCCCTCAATATGGTGCACGTATATATCTTTCTAAGAGCAGAAAGAGCTGAGAAAAATAGTGATATAAGTGACTAAGAAGAAAATAGAAAGACATAGCAAAATATGATTATTTAATAGTATTCATTATTGTAAAAGTTCTTCTTGCATTTACAAGATGAATGTATGACCAAATTTATTGCTTCTGATGCTGGAGATACAGCAGGCAAGCCTGTCATCATTTGTATATCACACACACACACACACACACACACACATACACACACACGGCTTCATGTAAATCCATAATTCACATACAGCCACTTACTTCAAAACCAAACTATTTATAAGCGGTATTGTTGGCATCTTGTGAGTGTAATTTTGCCACTGGCTT